CATCTAGCTCAGTCATGTCCCTGTCGGTTTTTCATCCAAATTACTTGCCTCAAATAACGCAGACAGGATTTAATTCTTTCTTTCATACTCCTCTCGCGACGTAAGTTTTAGGGCTACCTTAATAATTTTCAAACTCTTTGCCATGCCTAAAACTTGAAGAAAATTATTATTATTATTTTTCTAATATTTCCGGTTGTTGTTTTTGCTGTCATTGTTGTTGCCGCCGCTTTTATTGCTGTTGTTGTAACGTCTTATTCAGATTGGACTAGCATCAGGCAACATCCAACTCAAGTCATCGAGTTCATGCAACGGGACGTCCAGGAAACAAAGTCGTTTGAAGGGCTCGTACCAGAGGCGAAAGTGGTTAGGAGGGCACGTTTGAAGGGGCATGCAAAAAGATGGTTAGGGTCATGCGGGATATCGTACAGGTCATTAGTTGTCATAATCAAGTCTGTATAAGTAGGAATTCAGTAGACTACAACACCCAAATTTTAGTTGTGCCAATATTATTCGAGTCTCTCAAGACAGCTCGAGCTCTTCATCTGAAATGCGTGTTACATCGGCGTCTAAACGGCGTTCACGAATAGAGAGCTTAAGTAGGTGTGAACGGACTAGATTTCACTGACGTTTTGAGCCTGTCGGTATGCCGTCCTCTACGCCGGATCTTGTGTGGTTCTGTATTGAGTCCTTGTTGTGTTCCCAGCCGATTTCTGTCGGAAATTCGTTAAGTTTTATATGGAATGGCCGTATACACTTACATATATATGCAGAGCTTCGAGTCCGCTCAGCCGTACAAGATGGCAAACGCATTAGATATATATGCACGTTTATGCTCTAGCGCATGGTGAAAATTCCAAAAATAATAATGGAAAAAAAGACAATAATCATATTGGCATGCAGCTGTGCAAAGCTTGTTGCTCGTTTCGTCAGCGCGTGTGTTGGGTTAGAATTGTTCCTTGTTGTCGTTGGTGCAGCGCGAATTGCTCAACGCTGCAATGCTGAGCTTAACAAGGCCATATGCATCTTGAGCGACAATGTGCATCACTGCTGCAGCTGATGCACACACAAACACACACACACACCCACCTCTGTTGTGACTTTTGTTGCTGCTTTCCTCCTGATGCTGTTATCTTCTGTTGCACATTGCTTTTGTTGTTGTCCTCGCTGTGTGCTGTGCACGCTTTGTACTTTTGCCAAGCATTCGCAATATCCTGACAAATTTCCAACGTTAAGCGACGCCATAAATCACAGCGGTAATGCCAAAGTCAAAGTAGAGTGAGCAGGCGAGGGGGCGGGGTTACAGCAGCGATCAGTTGCGAGATAAGCGTGCAGCCACGCGTGACTTGAACGCGCTCAAAAGCATTTGCAGCACTTTGCGTGTGTACATGCCATATTTTTTTTTTTTTTTTTATGGGAAACGAATACATTCGTGTATGTATGCATATGCAAGAGCATGTGTGAGCAGCGCTTGTCATTCTTCACGCTCATTTTCTCATACTCCTCTCCATGAAAAGTTGCACACATGTCCCGTTGTATTGTTAGTTATTTGCTTTTTTGCTACTTTTCCTGCGTCTTCCTCTTCCTCTTCTTCTCCTTGTTCTTGTTCTGTTACTAACTTGGCTTGGCTTTGAAAGTTTATTCCTCATGTGAGTTTTAAAAATTTTTATTTACTTTTTTTAGTCGTGTGCAACACGTAATAATATATGTTGCATGCAGCATGTTGCACGCTTACTTTCATATGTACGCGTACTATATGTTAATGTATATTCATGCTTCGCTACTTTATGCATTACGCACTTCAGTTGCTGTTGTTCGTTTTGTTGTGGGGCAGCAGTTGCATTTTCCATTGTTAAAATATTTATCATTTCACTTTACAACAAAAGCAACACTCACAAGCGCTCAAAACCTTGCACTGTTGCACTAAGTTATCAGTAATCGCGGAACTGGTTTGTTGCTAAGCTTCGTTTAATGTTAGCTGCACTCATTTTCATATTTTAAGTCACCTTCTTGTGGAACAAACAATAACTACGGAGTAGTCAAACTCAGCTGGTAAATATTGGTCACATAGAAAATTCGGCGGGGTGATGTTGTCTGGACACAGTTACTTCCAGGAAAAACTTTCATAAAATTGGCAAAGCAGAAGAGTCGTCCTGCATATACAACGACACTACCGAAGACAGTGCTGAGCACACATTTTTCAAGTGCAAAAGATGGCAAACGGAACGAGAGGCACTGGCAAGCCTGATAGGACCTCTGTAAGCGGAAAACATCGTTCCGGTAATGCTCCAGCCTGAGGATAACCGGGGAAATATAGCAGACTAAGTAGAGAATGTACTGCGCAAGAAAAAGCGGGACCTCGAAGCAGTTGCTGAGATGTACATCTCAAGACCAGAAATATGGAACGCCACCTTGAAGCAATGCGAAAGCGGTTCCATGGTGAGCGACGGTTTCTCAGAGGAGATTACCTGCAAGTGGCACATCCCATTGACGGCGCAATGATGATGCGGAAGGCATTTTTCTGCTCTTCACCCGCAAAAAAACAACCTCGGCTGGTATCAAGCAAGAATCTTAAAAATACGAATGAATGAAATCGTACAATTTTTTCCAAACAAACTTTCGATTTAATTTTCTTATGCAACAGAAAAAAGAAATTGGGAACCCATTAACAATATGATCTTGGGTAATACGCTCGATTTGATAATTTTTTTTTTCTTTTCTTCCATCCACGTTTGGTCATTTCTGAGAGCTAACGCTCGCAAATATTCCGCCAGGATTTTCTCCTCTTCCGTGCATGTTCTGCAGCCAACTGATTGAAGCTTGCCTAGTGGTATCTCAGGAATAGCTGCCACGTTTATATGTACCCTTGGGAACCCAAGCGATGTTTTGTGCATTTACATACGGTTTCCATCTTAAATTATGCCTACAATATAACCTTGGAAGGCAGGGCAATTGCCGTTGATTTTGAAGATAGCTCAGGTATTGTGTGCTGTTGCGCCTGGCTCACATTACCAATCTATTTGCATTCCGCCCAGTTCTCCTTGAGAAGGTGGTGCTGACGTTCACGAATGATTGATGACGTTCGAAGATGATTTTAATTTCCCGGTTACATTGCAAATTTACCATATCCCTAAAAGCTTGGAGATCGAAACCAGTTATCTAGATCTTTTAGGTGGCTATCATTTAATGCTGTTGCATAGGCCTCTTGTATGTTAAGTATTTATAAGTGGCCTGATGTCTTTGTTTGCCAATGCATCGGTTAAGCTCGGTAGACAAGAGGTTGCACCTGTTAAAGTGATTTAATACGGCAGTTTTTCGTTAAAGTCGCCCTTTATTCGTGAGCTTCATATGTTCATATGTGAGCCATATGCGGTACTAGTTTATACCAAGCAAGCGCTCTAGTTTTAGTTTAGTTTATCATTCCAATTCAAATCTCGCTTGGTTGCTAGAACATTAACTGAAAACTCAACTCACTGTGCTCCACAAACACCGTGTTCGCTTGATCGGGCTTCGTGTCATATCTGTCTCAAAGGATCGTTGCATTTCGTACCAATTGAAGGGGTTCAACTAGAACCACTCAAGGAATTGAAAGCCATTACGGCCAACTAGTATGAAAAGTTTTTCGGGAATTGGAAAAATCGTTGGTACGTGAATGGCAACAGGAGGAAAGCCACTCATTTTAAAAAATGTAAGCAGAACATACTGTGAGCAAAAAGTAAGGAGCATTTTTAATTTGATCTTCGCGCATTTAATATTTTTTTCAATGTTGGAAGCCAGATTTCTTGTCAATGTCATCATCACGATAATGCACCGCCGCACACAACACTCATTCTTTGTTCCCACATCGCTAAAAATTGCACGAATATCGTTCCCCAACCATATTATTCACCCGACTTAGCACCATGTGATTTCTGACAATTCTAAAAACTCAAGAGACCACTTCCAAGACACCGTTTTGAGTCGATTGTGGAGATTGAACGGGAGTCGGCGCGCTCTCTGAAGGCCATACCAGAACTTGACTATTTGATATGCTTCGATAACTGGGAAAAGCGTTGGCACAAGTACATTGCATAGGCAGGAGACTATTTAGAAGGCGATGAAATCGATGTTGAAGTATAAATAAAGATTTTTATTTTTACAAACAAATTCACCTTCATTTTTTTTAAATAATCCAATCACATCTCAACTTACCGAATAATTCAGTCTAACCGTATTATGGTTTGCTCCGATTTTTGAGCGACTCTCATGAGAACGTGTTTCTGCAAACTTCAAAGGTAATATCTGTAACACCTAAAATATATTGGAAATTATTTTCTCTAACTGGGTTGGCCCCTCGACAGGAAATATCAAGTCCGAATGTATTTCCTATACAACGTCAAACCTTCTTATAAAATCCATTGACCTTTTGTAGATGATTTAGACAATTGTGGGTCCGTTAATTTGTTGTAGAAAATAATGGAAGTAATCCTCGTAATATGTACATGAGTTGATACAGAAAAGAACACATGAAGTTATATAATGGAGGGCCGTACTCACAGAAAAACATGCAAGGACTCACAGACTATAGTAAATTTTGCTGCCATAATCCTGAATACCTGAAAAAGTAGAGTTAACTAAAATATTTGAAACATTTTTGGGCAACCATATGATAGAATGGCTAGTTAGTTATCACAATTTGGAAACCACTTTATACTTTACTACTATACTTTAACTATTTGAATTTGAGACATAGTTATCAATTCATTTTGATGAGCGCAGCAAGGAAGATTTGTATATCCAGCCATGGCACAGTTGGAAGATGTGGGTAAAAGACAGATTCAGATAATATTTTATATGAATTCCAAGAGTCTCGTTACATTAACTTTTTTATAAGTCACTTTTTAAAAGTAAATTCATTTAATATAATATAAAAGTCCTCAGTAGTACCATATAAACAATTTAAATTTTTTTTAGATATAATATTTATTTAAAAAAATAAGTTTTATAATATATATAATACTCGTATTTATTTTAAATTACATTCTTCTCGGTCTTATCATCATTTGTGAGAATTTCAAGGCATAATTGAAGCCCTTAAAATCATGCCAAACCACACCTTGGGCAAACTTCTCTTGTGGATAAGCCCCACGTAAGTAAAGCCCATTTAAATTGCTAAGAAAAACAAGATAAAAACGACAGAAAATAAAAAATGTATTGAATTATGGTCGAGTCAACGAAAACTCACCTCACATGACACTTAGCGTACCACCAGGCGCCCTTGAATCTCTCCGCACAGTTGGTGGGATCTATATCGTTGTCACGATCGATTGTGCTCCACTTGTGGCCAACATGATGGGACAGGGAATCACCAGCATCACCGCTGTAATTGCCCAACAACTTCAAAACATAAGCTTCACTTTCATCACCAATAGCGAACTCATTATATTTGGCATGACGACGCACACCATCGAAATCCTCCATAATGATAAGCAGCTCCTGTGCATGTCGTGTAGTCATGGCGTGTAGACGATCCATGCCAAACCAGTATTCACCATCAATTTTTCCAAACCCCTCTTTATACTCAGCCCACTTGCGCAAGAAATCGATTTTACCATCTTGACGTCGTTGTATAATGGTCCAAGCGCCACCATAAAGGTCTTCATCGCAGGAAGTCCAAAAAGGTGTGGGGCCAGCAAGATCATCTTGAATGGTGTAACGACCACTTTTGCGCGTGTTTGCTGTTGCCTCGGCACAACTTTGCGGCAGACGTTGTCGACCGGAGCTTTGGGGATGGAAAAAATAAATGTTGAAGCGTTCTTAAAGTTCAAAACGAGTATATTCAGCAGTACAAGGACGAGTGTTTTTTATGTGTCTTTAAATACTCACCAAATATCCACAGTTTCTTTTGTGCTTTCAGGTATATCAAATATATCACGCACGTCAATTTTAGGTGTTGTTGAAAAGGGTGCTTTGGGCGTTGAAAAATAATTTATGAAAAATACTTTCAATAGAGAATTAAATTATGAATATATACTTACTTTTGTCGTTTGTTCCACTTTTGCTGCGCAGCTCTGCTATAAGTTCACGCTGATCGTTTAAGCTGTGAAAAACATGATGAGTAAAGTTTTGATATAAAAAATAACCGCAATAAATGGTTTACACTAACCGTTCGTTAAGATCCGACATCCGTACACGTAACTCCGAGTTTGCAGCGGACAACAGATTAACGTCGTGTTGTATTTTCCGTAGAGCATTTGACTAAAGTAATAATATATAAAATTAGGTAAGTTAAATTGAAAAAAGAATGAAAATAAATACTATAACTTAAAAAAAAGAAACTTAAATCAAATAAAATACTAGATTTAAAAATATAAAATTAATAAAATTCAATCATGTGAAATAAAATAAAATAAAATAAATAAAATAAAATAAAATAAAATAAAATAACATAAAATAAAATAAAATAAAATAAAGTAAAATAAAATAAAATAAAATAAAAAATAAAATAAAATAAAATGAAATAAAATAAAATAAAATAAAATAAAATAAAATAAAATAAAATAAAATAAAATAAAATAAAATAAAATAAAATAAAATAAAATAAAATAAAATAAAATAAAATAAAATAAAATAAAATAAAATAAAATAAAATAAAATAAAATAAAATAATATTAAATTAACTAATATTAATTTTAATTAAATTTAATTAAATAAAATAAAATTAATAAAATGAGTTGAATTTAATTAAAGTAAATAAATAAAATAAAAAAATAAAATAAAAAAAAATTAAAATAAATTCAATAAATTAAAATAAAATAAATTAAATAAAAATAAGCAAAGTAAAATAAAGACTAAAAATATAACATAACAAAAACTAAAAGAGAATTAAAAAATAAACAAAAATACCGCCAATACATATTGAAGCTGATATTCTACTCACCACATTATTATCACAATTACATTCCGCTGACTCACATACTATGACCAACGTTCCCCACCAATAAAGCCAAACTGATAAACAAAGTGCAAAATTGCATCGCTTCATTTCGAAGTTAAATAATAAGAGTATATCAGGTATTTAATTAAAATTATGTACACTTTATTATTTGCGCTGTATTTATTCAACAGCGGATTAGTTGCTTTCAGCTTCAGCGATCAATCCACACTGCTACGTTGTTGATTCTCTTACTCCAGTATGATCAAGCACATGTTATCGCAGTGGCGGTAAATGTAAATGACTAGTCCAATGCATGCTTTGGGTTTGAGTAAAAAACCCAAACAAAGTAAAAATATTTCCCAAAAAGTTAAAAGTAAACCCCCGATATTGATTGCGAAGACATCTTTCTGCAATTTAAACAATCAATTGCTCTCATGCATAATTCTTATTTTATAATAAAATGAGATGAGTTTTGTTTCGCTTGAAAAGAGATGATAGTGAATTGCTTAAGTGAGAGTTGTTTTTGTTGTAAGTCTCTTATTCTGTGCGCAATGCTTTCCAGTCTTCGGACCGGTTTTAATGGTGTGCAATCACCTTGCAATAACAGTCGGTGTCGTAAATATGTGTACAGATTTAATGTAGTATACTATTAATTTAAGGAAAAATATATTTTGAAAAGTCTTTCACAAATATTGAAATATTGTATGCGTACTAGATTATATTTGAAAACTCTTTAATAATAGCAAACTTTTTTATTAACGCAGAACTGTTAAAATAAATAGACCCTTGCACTAACTAAGGTGGTTTTCAGCGAACCCAATTTTAAGTTGATTGATCCCCAATTCTTTATTTTCACTTTTGACTGTAATTGATTTTTTTTCTGCCATATTATTTTCTAATTTGTACTACTTTTAAGCCAATTTATGTTCACTGTATTCAAATTGAACATTTCAAAACATGGCCTTTTACCCAATGCAAAAAAAGCATCTGACGCTGCACAGGCGTCAATCGCATACCACTCAAAGAAGCAGGGATGGCTAAACTCAAACAGATCAGTAGGGGAATTCTCTATCGTATTATAAAAATTTTCGGATCGTTAAAATAGCTTAACGATAATTTTAACGATTTTAATATTCGGTGTACTTGTTTTAACGATATTCGCTTTCGCTGTTGTCGTTAACTACTCGAAAAATCGCTAACTAAGCGACGAATATCTTTAAATTGTTAGTGATATCGACAAAATATTGTTATTTAATTATGGTGAAATAAAGTTAAGTAAATCGGGAAATTGCCTAAGCTTTATAAAAACGAAAATAAAATTATTAAAAAACATAGCTTTTGAGCATTTGACATACGTTTTATCCCAAGATGAGGTGGTATTGTACACTTCATCATTGGGTAGAATTTTTTGTTTTAAGGTTCTTGTCGCCATGCGATTCATTGCAACTGGATGCTACCAACGTCCCGTCGGAGAGCAATAGGGAATACCCAAAAGTCAGTCGTCAGTAAGCTCTTGTACTCATCGCGTAACAAAAGCAGTCAACCGTTCAATGTTCGCTGTGGAGGTTAGAATCCGCATTAACCTCTATATCAGCCATACCATTCTACCATCAAGCAAGTGGTAAGAGTAAATTTCTTTCAATTACTATTGAAGTAACAAAGTTTATTATATTATATTAGTACACAGATATGTGATCCTTATCGCAAGATTATAGTGTCAAATGCCAAGTACCCAAGAGCGCGGCACAATTATTTTATTTGGAGCTCCTCTATAAAGCGAAGGGTCATGCATGAAAGTGCCAGCCATAACATGCTTTTGATTTGATAAACTTTGTTATATATAATGTAAATGTCAAGAATAATTCCTATAAGAAATTTATTTATTTTTGTCATTTCTCTTTCCATTTTGACATTTTGTTAAGCTTCATGTTAATAAAATGGAAATGTCCGTTGTCGATTATCGTAAAAACTGAGTTATGGATCTCATTATCCTTAGCGCGAGCGACATAATTCGGAACATTGCGATCCGACAAATCGTGTCAAAAAAAGTAACAGAATTGCGCTGCAGAAGATCAGATATCTGATCTCGATCATAAGATAGTAAATTCCCTTGCATTTTAGCCGTATGATTTCACTGATCACCGTAGAGCCGTCTTGTTGAAAGTAACCGTCGTTCAGTTCTATACCATCTAACTCCGGCCATCTATTCATTTTCGAAAAAGTGGGTTCCAATGATTAAGGTTAAAAATGGAGAGACTTTTAAACAATAAATCGTATGTTATGTAATTCTATTGGTATAACTTACTACCATCTCGAGGATCGAGGTTAGAGTCCTGGTTGTACAAAAATTTTAAAATTAATTTTTGTGGCTGCTGTCCCCCCCTCCCCCGTCCCCACTGGCATGAATTAAAAGCTCCTTATAAAAATATATATCCGCCACTCGGAGGTTGTTTTAAATGAACAGCGGAAGACTGATTGAGAAGCTTGGCCGAAAATCGTTTTAACGGTTACAATAAGTTGAACTTAGTTTAAAAATAATTAATTACGGTGCACCATAAATTGCCAAAATAAGATGCTACTCAGCTACACTTACAGAGAAGCGACTTCGTATGGACTGTGAGAAAAGCTGACACGGTAGAGCTGCCAGTTAAAATAAATGAAATTGTTTTAAGTTAAATTTAATTCTAAATTATGTTAGGCAATTTCACAACTATAGTGACAAAAAATAATGATCTTAGTAGGAGTGGAATCAGAATACCATTATTTTCAAAGGGTTGCCATATCTAGTAATATTCTTCGATTTCGAAAATAATCGACTGTTTAATTATTGAAATTGATTGTTCAAACTACACCACATCCTGTAAATCATTAACAGCAGTTGGATGTAAATTAATCACTGAAAATAACGCTCTAATTATCAGCATTGACGGCATGGTAGCTCCTGCCTTGTTGTCGAAGAAAAAATTGCTCACTGATGCCGCCGGTTTACTTGCAGTACCAAACAGTCACTCTTTGAGGATTCCCGTGATTGCGTTTGGGGTTGAAGATGAGTTTTGGTAAAAAGTTTCTCTTCTGCTAAAGGATCTTCAGTACATTCAGCTAGACGAAACCCTAATACCTGAGTTATTTGATAATGTGGGCAAGTTTTTTGCCCGATAACGAAGCCGCTTGGCGAACGTATTGCACAATCTCTATAGAAAAAAGCTATTTTGCACGAACTTCGTTTGTAATTTTTTTCCATCTGCGGTCGAGTCCTCCCCATTTTGTAAACAAGTTAGAATTCGAGTGAAAGAGTTAATTATTTACAGAAAGTAAACAAAAATAATTTAAATTTTAAATTTGTTTTAAGAATAGCTTTTGGCGAATCACTATTTATATCTATATTCAGTCGTTATCCTGAGGAAATACAATTCCCCTGTTCCCTTCTCTATTGTGCAAAGTTAAACGCAAATATACGATTACTGTTGTTCTCTTAGTGAGCTGTTTTGACAGGTTCAGACCAGACAGAAAAGGCGGTCATATGAGTTGGTTTTAGAGGGCTGCAAAGAAGTGGTAAGTGTCGTGAATAGACTTATTACATGGAAGACATATATTAGGTTAGCCCTCGTCGATTATAATATCCGGATCTTAGTTGTGCCAATACAACTCTCACGGCAGCAGCTTATACACATCTGCTTCTGGCCGATCTTCACTCCAAAATCGATATTCGAAGCTGATGAACTTTCTTAACAGAGCCCGCATTCTGATGATAAAATTCACTAATTTCCAAGCGATGCTCGTTTGTAAGACGATTTATGGTGAAATTATAAGCCCAAACACGAAACGTGCGTCAGCTGTTTAAACCAGTGTTGCCAAAAGGATAATCTAGCTAAAAAATCACCCTTTATTATTAGTGCCGTAAACGCCTTGAACATGTTTAGCTGTGTGGCTTACGTTTCTGTCTTCATCGAGGAAAAGTTGTGGAAGATAGCGTGGTTTCTCTTTGGGGTGAATTAGTACTTAGTTCAGCGATCAACACTTTTCTCGTGATATCTTTTAATGCAATAATCATATTCTTAACGTCATCCAGTGTAATCCAACAGCACTTATATTGTAGAACGCGATATACAGATGACTATAGCCATAAAATAATTATTTATTTTTGTAAAGAGTAAAAATTTGTATACTCGTAAGTATTTACGTATGTGACACATTCTTCAGCTTATCGGATAAACTGAAAGCTGAAGGCAACTAATTAAAATAGAACAGTAATTTTTCCTGTAAACACTGTCATTATAATATATGACTATGAGAGTCTGTAAACTTTCACTCAAAGTGCACGTCAGCCAAAGAGCTAAAGAGGAAACAGAAAAAGATAATATTTCCAACGACAATATGACTTTTAATTAAACATAGATAAGGGTTATGAAATCCTTTGGTGTATGCTAAATGTGATAATCAGTAGGACGTGCTGAGGAGATGGCAAGGGTTTTGTGATATTAAAGTTTCAAGTATTATAACTTATAAAGCTATGTCTGTATATGTGTACATAAATAAGCATTGCGTACAGTAAACTTTTCAATAAATGTATGTGTGTATGTTATGCATTATGATTATTATTATTATGTATTTTAATAACACACTCATTCAACGCTCTTAGATCAGATAAAAAAGGTGCGCACTGTGTGGCAATGAGGAAGTATGTCGGCGTGATATAGACATGGGAGACTGTTACGCTTTACAAAGCGAAATTTCTCAACCCCAACAAAGTTAAATTTTCGGTTGAAAGCGGCAGTGACAACTTATATTTATGTACACATTGCGCTACAAGCTAGCCTAATTAATTAAATAATGCTTCGGAGATGCTGTTGCCAGCTTATTAAAAAAAAGAAATAAAAAAAGAAATGTATAAAAATAAGTTTCATCAAAGGTTGCGCGTATAGACAAGAAAAGATGTCAATGTAGATTTTAGATGTTCAGCTGCGCGCACGCCTACACACCTTGCCGAATAAATTCTCGTCAGCCCATAAGGCCAACAGATGCCTGACACTTAATTTAATCAACATTTGCAATTAGAAAGTTCGAAGTTACTTACAACTTTTTATGAGAAAATAAAACCAGAGATATTAAAAAAAATTTAGTAAATAAAATCCACCATAATGAGAAGCTCCTTGAAGACATTTTTCAAAAATTTTTTTGAGTTAAAAAGTGGAAAAAAGAAAGTTAGAGCAACAAAAACATGTTCAACGTACCAACGCAACCGTTAAGGTTATACATATATAAAACATAAAACATTGAAAATTATATACAT